GACGAATGCTAAAATTTGCTCTCTGTCCAATAAGACAGAGCAAACAAACCAAAGAGGTTTTCTTCCATGCAGATCACAGCTATCTGCTACATTGCGTTGGTTTGTTACGTAAAATATCTTATTTGATAATGGGACATTTATAACTTTGAGGCATATTAATACTTTTGAAAAGCACAGTGTTACAAAAGTAAGTTTTATATTTATCTTCATACTGACCTGGCATCATCTATTGACGATAATCTCTGGTCCAAAATGCTGGTGATATTACCCATCAGAGGACTGCTTTGGAGGTGCTGATCATTTAAAACCACAGCAAACTTGGACAAGGATGGCATTGGAAGTCTGCAGAAAGAAATGTCTGACATGACTGGACTGAAAATAATTAAACAAAAATTATTAATTATTATTTGATTTAAATGCTTGTTTTGCCTGAACTGATGAAGTTAATGCATCTAATTTCATCTTAAAATTACTTATGACAATAATAAAAACATAAATATAAATAAAAAATACCTGTCTAGTCTCAGCCAAGCTTCTGAAACCATCTGTTGCACAAGAGAGTCATGTGGTTCCACATTCAGCCTACATAAGAGAGGGTAATACATGATATAACGCTGGAATTTCAATAAACCACCATTTGATAGATTGTTAGTATACCTGAGAAAAGCATAAAGCATGTCGATCAGCGTGAAGTCATCCATCTGAGCAATTTTATTCTCTGCCAAAACCCGGAGGGTCAAGAACTGCTGGTGGTTCTTGATGAGGTGTACAGTCCTGAGCAGTTCAGGTCTCTCCTTCTGAAACTCCCACAGCATCCTCACAGCCAAGCTGACATGTTCCACCGTCAGCTTGGCTTTGTTCTTCCCTACCATATCGAGCACCTGGTCCTCTGCAGAGCACACCTGAAGCCCCTCCAGCACCTGGTCTCTACTCCCCACACCTCCATGAAGGAGTCTTCTGAGGCTTGGCCTCAAACAGTTCAGTCTGAACATTGTTCCCCACATGGGTGTGAGTTAGGCGTGCGCTGAACTCTTCATTGCACATGCATACAGCTCTCTGTCAACTGATCGTCAGGGTCAGCCCATCACAGAACTGCAAACTAGTTACATGGCGATGCACAAAGAAGAAAGAAAAACATAACATTATGATCTTAAATTAAAACCAATCTTTCTAAGCCTATGTTGCACCCTTAAAAAGAACTAAAAAAACAAACAAATAGATTTTCGCTTTTGTGCAACTTTATTAAACTAAATCCACAGTTTGAGCATACAGCATATGTATAGTTTTCTCTTTTTGTAAATATACACAGGCCATGAACTTTCTTCCCCCATCATGCATCGTGTCCTCTTAAAGGGGCATTATCATGACAGAAATGTATGAAATACAAAAAAAAAAAAAAGTAGTTTGAGCACATATTTTGTCGTAAACCATATGAATTGTACTAACTCAATAATAAATTAAATAAACGCTTGCCCAATAAAATAATTATACCTACTAATTTTAACTTTATCCCTTTTGTACTTTTAGGGCTCTACACCTACTTAATGAAATAATAATATATTTGAACACATAAAATACATACAGCTATTTTTTGACATTTTCAAAATAAATGTAAATACAAACTCTTCTCAACTACATAGTTTTACACGTGTTATGTCATTACTGAGTCATACCATTAAGTATTTTTATAAATGCATACTAGAGCTGTGCAATATACACAAACACAACATATTTATTATGTTATTGTGAGAAGTATCAATTAGATGTGTCCAGATCCGATAATGACATTACATAATGGTCTGATATTAACCAAAACTTTAATATCAGACTTTATCAGCATCTTAGCATCTAAGTCTGTTACAGCATGAAAATAATCTTTTATTTTCACGCTGATAGAAACACTCTGCTACTGTTAAAAGTTCCCATAACTCATTGGTTCATTTTAACAGGGATCAGTTTTTTTCATACCTTTTTGCTTCTGTTGACTTTTGTTCCCTGTTTTAGTAATATTACTTGATAGAGCCTTTCCCGACATTCTACAGTATAAAATAAGTCATAAAAGCTGGTATGATTTGTGCTAATAAGGTATCAAATCGGTATTGGCAAACTCTAAAAGCTGTGATATCAGTATTGTATCAGAAAACCCCTTATATCAATCGAAAATGTCTACTTTTCTGAAATGTTTGGTTTTAATTGTAAAGCTATCACACTCTTATAATATATCGAGAAGTCGAATAGATTTTTTCATTGTTGCATTTGGTATAAAGCCTGCTGAACCTTCACCTGCTAAGATTCATAAATTCATAGAGGTGGTGGAAACAGTGTTTAATGGTTACTAATAAAAGTGTCAGGAAAACAAGGTTTATTTTTAGTCTATATATTCATCACATTCTACATTTTATCATGGTTTAGTATTTTTATAACAATAGGCTGCATGCCACAAGAAGCACAATAACCTTATATGTGTCTGCAGGCCTAAAGATGTATCCCATAATTTTTGAATATCTTAGTTGTTATTATTTTCATTGACGGAAATAACAGACAAATCTTCAAAGTTTGAGACAGAACACAGTTGGCATGAGGATGAAAAACAGTTTTCATACAGAAAAGCCACTTTGGAAGTGGGTGACTCTACACAAAGTTTAGTATTAACAGAAAGTTGAGTGGAAGGAAAAACTGTGGTGGAAAATCTGTAAAATCAACATGATTCCATAGTAGTTTGGGGATTTGCAAAGCACCGAGTGTGGCTTGATTTAATGTTTAATGAGCCCTAACACATCTAGGACATTTGCTCCTACCATTGCGTTTCTGGTGTTACATAACTCCTAAACCAGAAACAACATCAGAGCTGTCTTTTCCAGACTGTTTGGCGGTCTGGATTCATGGTTTAAAGTTAAAAGTAGGTATAAGTCCTTAAAGATGACTTTACAGAATTAAAACAGGTTAAACTAAAACTTTCTCTCTTGAGGAGTGCTGGATAGAGCACATTGACTTTTTTTTTTTATCTTAAATGCGAAATGATTATACATTCTTTTATAATCTTGGTATAATTACCTCTCAAGGTGGGTCGCTCTGTCAGCTGAAGGCATGTTTTACAGTCTCTATACTCCAACGATTAATTGATTACTAAATTAGTTAAAGGAGAATTCCGGTTTTTAACACTTTTAGCCCATTTTCTGTAGTGTCCAGGATGAAATCGAATGATCGACACCAAAATTTTGACAATTGGTCCTGTCTCTGCTATTTGGCTCATGCAGAATCACCCCCTGGCTGCTTCAGAATGGCTTTCATAGTGCATGTCCGATAATGTCCTTAAAACAACCTTAAACGTTCTTTTTTTAAAATATGCTACTCACCGGGTCGTCAGCGCTGTTCAATGACGTTCCAAAAAAAGTTTCGTAAAGAAAAAACGTTCCTTTAGTGTTTTATTTAGCATTTTGTAAATCCCATTGAGTTCTGTTGGAATAGTCAATATTCCCCTGCCACCGGAAACGGAAATGGGGCCTGTTTACACAGTTGTAGTCTTTTCGCTTCACTCTGTGTACTCCGACGTCGAGGTGCTAACGTCTCTGTTAAACACTTTAAAAAACTCTGAAAATGGAATACGAAAGGTGGATTATTGATTCTCGACGTCGGAGTACACAGAGTGAAGCGAAAAGACTACAATTGTGTAAACAGGCCCCATTTCCGTTTCCGGTGGCAGGGGAATATTGACTATTCCAACAGAACTCAATGGGATTTACAAAATGCTAAATAAAACACTACAGGAACGTTTTTTCTTTACGAAACTTTTTTTGGAACGTCATTGAACAGCGCTGACAACTCGGTGAGTAGCATATTTTAAAAAAAGAACGTTTAAGGTTGTTTTAAGGACATTATCGGACATGCACTATGAAAGCCATTCTGAAGCAGCCAGGGGGTGATTCTGCATGAGCCAAATAGCAGAGACAGGACCAATTGTCAAAATTTTGGTGTCGATCATTCGATTTCATCCTGGACACTACAGAAAATGGGCTAAAAGTGTTAAAAACCGGAATTCTCCTTTAAAGATTATTTCAAAAATTGATTAATCACGATTAATCTGATTGTTTCAGCCCTAGTTATAATTCATGATCAACTGATTCAAGTGGGGGGGGGAAATTAGATATGTTATTAATTTAAGGAATCAATTAATAAGATTTTTGAACTTTAATAACTGTAATATGCGGACATGTGGGCAAGATTTCAAGTATAACCTAGTGATTTGGGGTACATAGCAAGTTTAAATTAATCTAAAACTAACATACTGGACATAAACTAACAAACCACATACATAATGGATTTTTGTTGCGTTCATGGACAGTATAAGATGTCAGTGATAATGCATAGCTTTTTAATACAGATACAGAACAATTTCTTACACATTCTGCCAGAGTCTGTATAAAGAGGCGGTGATAACATCTGTATAATTGCTAAAAACGAATTTAGTTTGCTTACAATTAATAACAGTTTGCTACATGCAAATACTTACATCGTTCATAGGGACATGTTGACCATGCTGAGCTGAATTAACAGTCCCATCTTGACTTTAAATAAGTTTGATTATAGATTGGGTTCGCACGTGGATTCATGGGCATCTCCCTAAATAAATACCATACCCGAATAAATGTAATTATCTTTCAGTTTTCAACACTGCTAGATTAAAGAGTATTTATTTTGTGACACAGTTATGAAAATAGCTCAAAGTCAAAATTACCTAGCGTGTGTGCAAAGAGCTTTGACTTCCGGATCACGTAGGTCATATTCTAGATTTAAATTAATCCCGTGTTTATGCTTTCAGGCACATACGTTTTTGTTCTAATCTCAGGTTACGTATTAATGGTTCATGTCCAAAATTACGTTGTTCTAAAAACTTCATATCAGAAAAAAAACATAACTCGTCTATAGAATATCTTAATGCTTTTTTGTGGAGGGCTTTTTACTAACTCTCTTACCTGTCAGACAAAGTAAAGGGCACATCTTTCCTCACAGGCTTCCCTGGCTCCCACTCTCACCAGAAACCAGTTGACGTTCCTTCCGTGCCATCTTTAGAAAACATAACTGAATGAATATACGGTTTTCGTCGCTTTGGAGAACTTCTCACTGTATGTCTGAACTCCTTGTTTTTCCAGGTTCTGTATTCTAACGTTAACCATATCTCCGTACATGTTTAACGAAAGTATCGAACATGAGAAGCTTCATGTGGTTGTAAAAACCTTCGTGCGCGAAGGGGCAGCAGCGAGATAATTTGGGCTAAAGCTAGGAGCGGGGCCTACATGGTAGACAGTGCATCAGTAGTGCATTTTCATGTGCAAAATATTTCATATCGGTGATTAAAACAGAAACGAGTGCTGAAGTTCACTACATCTATCAGTGGGGATGGGCTAGCATTCCTAAATAACTAAGGCGCGTGGTGGCTAAAGCTAACCCGCCAGCCGTTAAGTGTCGAACACGAGAAAGATTCAGTATAATCTAGAAATTATTTCTCCATCCTTCTGTTGATACATTGACATCATACTCTTCTTAGTTTTTGTTATGCACATTGCAAAGCATTAACCGCCCTTCTCGTGTTTAATATAAATAATATAGGATGCCAGCGGAAAGTATGTATTGAAATTCCGTTTAGGATCACCCCTGTAATGTCGTTTGTTGACACTGCTGCAGGTGTTGGGAGGAAATATGGGGATCAAGGTTCGGCCTCGGTGCTTTCTGGACATCGGGATCAGTAATGTTCTAGGTAAGAGAAACGTTCTCAATCTTTAAATCAATATCCTGTAAAGAAATAATAATATTGTCATTTTAGAATGGAATAGAAAATATATTCATTGTCCCACAAGGGGGACATTATGGTGATAAAGCAGCAAAAGATGGTAGAAAAAAATGGACCACTTTTTTTCCCTATAATCTTTTGCTGCTGTACAACTTAGTATACATTTTCAATCTTAATGTTTGTTAAACTCAAAATGTTTTAAACAAAATCATGTTTGTTGATGTGCCTTAAAACCAAAACAAATGGGTAGTATTGTATTAGGTGAAAAACATTTTTTCCTCAGTATTTGAACCTATTGTAACTATTCTTGACTCTATAAATGGCACTAATAATATGACCACTCTTGTTGCAGCCACTAACTGATTGTATTCTTACAGTTGGTAGAATCGTGGTGGAGTTATTTTCAGACATCTGCCCCAAAACCTGTGAAAACTTCAGATGCCTTTGCACAGGTGAAGGACTTTTCCACATTTAAATAGCTTCTTTTTTAATTCTTTTTGACAAATTGACCATCTTCACAGTGCAGATTTGTTTTTATGATTATTTCACTTAGGTGAGAAAGGCATAGGAAAAGGGACCCAGAAACCCCTGCACTACAAAGGATGCTTGTTCCATCGAGTTGTAAAAGACTTCATGATTCAAGGTGGTGACTTCAGTGAAGGTGAGATACGAACAGCTGTGAATGGAGCACTCTGTGCAGAATATATATACAGCTTAAAAACTAAATTATGTTTCCCTAAAAAAAAAATTGTTTTGAACAGCTCTCATGACATTTCAATTTTCTTAAAGTGCAGCAGTCATCAAAGCCAAACGTGGCAGAAAAACATGGGGCCAAAAAATGCGTTGATATGGTCAGTTTGGTGCAGAGTCTGTGGCATGATTTAGAGTTTTTTCAACATTCATCTGTCTGATGGCAGTGGGGAAGAAGCTGTTTTGGAATCTTCTGGACCTGCATCGAATGCTGCAAAACCTCTTCCCAGAGGGCAGCAGGAAGGAACAGGCCATGATGGGGGTTTGAGGGGTCATTGATAATGTTACAAGCTCAGCGCTGGAATGAAATGTCTTTTAAAAAATGGGATGAAATGTCTAGGGGCTAGCCTCAGTTAGCCGTAGCCTCTCCATGTCCATTCTTCAACAACAAGTCAAACCAGACTCCCCTGGACACCAACATGCCGGTGTAGTGACTGATAACTCTGTCATTAACAATTAAAAAAATATTTTATAATTGCAGAGTTGCATAATACATATTGACATGGCCTAATAAAATGGACAACTGTTTCTAAGTAACAACAAGTGTAATAATTTAGTGAAATACTAGTTTTGATAACAGCTGACTGTGCAAAACTCTTATGTCAAGTCTGGAGAACTTGGTCGTACCTGAGAGAAAAGTAATAGGAGAAAAATGCTGAACTGTTCTTGCTTGAGGCCCAGAGTTTATGATTTTATTTCATATATTACAGACAAATAATGTTGAAGTTTCGCTGTAATGACAGGCATTTTATTTTAGGGGTAACCCCCTGAGCATTGTCATATATAATGTACACATGGACTATCTAAAAAAAAAAAAAAAAAATTGTGTGTAATTAGGGAATTGAGTTTAAATAGGAAGCTCTTCCCATAATGTCTCGTCACAATTCACTTTTACCTGAGAGCTGATTTAAGATTTTTTTTTTTAATTATTATTAATTATAATCTACTGTAGTCTGATTGGACTCTTGGTTTATTTTTGTCGGCATTGCCGTATTTGCCCACAGGAAATGGAAGAGGAGGTGAATCAATCTACGGGGGCTTTTTTGAAGGTAAGGTGTCAGATATTTTTTTTAAACGAGTGTTGGCTTCAAGCTTTCAGCACAATCATTTCCTTTTCCTTCCAGATGAAAGCTTTGCTGTTAAACACAACAAGGAGTATTTGCTGTCTATGGCTAACAGGGGCAAAGATACAAATGGATCACAGTTCTTCATGTAAGTGCCATGTTTCTTTGTTATGTCCGATTTATCTTTTAAAAGTTTTGGAGAGAAAAAAATACACTTTATTGCCATTTTCTATCTTTGTAATTCTAGAACAACAAAACCTGCCCCTCATTTGGATGGGTAAGACTCATTTTATTTTTCAACACAAATTGCATTCTCCACATAATGCTAATTTCAGTTAAATCTGGTTTTTAGTGTTCATGTGGTTTTCGGTCATGTAATTTCTGGACAAGAAGTCGTTCAAACGATGGAGAACCAGAAAATAGATCCTAACAGCCGGCCGTATGCTGAAGTTAAGATTTTAAACTGTGGAGAGCTCATTCCGAAATCAAAAGGTTGGAGGGTAAGGGGGGGACCTCAGGCTTTAAAAGCTTCAAATTTCTTTAAACTGCTGTTGATATATATATTTTTTGCCAATGCTTTGTAGGAAAGAAAGCCAACAAAAAGAAAGAGAAGGCCTCGTCCAGTTCCAGCGGCAGCTCATCTGATTCGGAAAACTCCTCAGATTCTTCTTCCAGCTCAGAGGAATCTGAAAAAGAATCTAAGAAACGGAAGAAGGAGAAAAAACTAAAAAAGAAGCAAAAGAAGGAGAAGAAAAAGTACAAAACTCATTTACACAACCTTTGACTTTGTTTTATAAAAAGAAAAAATAGATATAAAAAAAATGTTTTTATAGGTCTGGATTGGAAAGTGCTGAGGAGAAAGAACAAGAAGATGAAATTACTTCCACTGTACGTCCTGAAGAAATCCCTCCCATCCCAGAGAACCGCTTCCTCATGAGGAGAAGTCCTCCACCATCCGAGAAGTCCAACAAGGACGATGAAAAAGACCAGAGAAACAGGGACGACAGATCGAGACAGAAGTTGGTGTTTTTTTTTTATCGTCACAAGGAATGGAAACCTGAAGAAATGACGCAGTGTTTAAATGTCCTGTTTCTCCTTACATTACAGCACTGGCTCGATGTATAATTCTCAGTCCGATTATCAGAGGCGGTTTATGGTTACCACCCGATCAGGCAGGAAGATAAAAGGGAGAGGACCAAGGGTGAGTCAGCTGAATCAGTCTGAATAATTTATTTTCTCTGTCTAATCATCACTCACATTTTAAATACATGATTGACATTTATTTGCGCCTTTGTACAATTAGTATTTCAATTGAATTCAATTTGCTTGTTTTTTTATATTTATTTATTTTTTTTACATTGACTTTTATGTCTTTCAACAGAGGTACCGAACTCCATCACGTTCTCGCTCAAGGTCTAGAGATCGATTTCGCCGAAGCGAAACTCCTCCACACTGGCGACAAGAGATGCAGCGTCAGAGGATGAGGGCGGTCACCAGAGAGCGATGGATTAAGGGAGACAAGTAAGGACCGCTCAGAAACAGTGGGCGACTTTTGCAATGTAACCATAACTTTGACTGAAATGGCATGAAATGTTTAGTTTAGGCAACTGGACATGACGTTTTCTAGAAGACGTTTTCGCCTCTCAGACAAGAGGCTTCCTCATTTCTAACCGATGGGGGGGAGCTTTGAGATTAATATACTGTAGGTAAAACAAAGAATTGGGGTAAAACAAAAGGTGGCCATGATCCCTCCTACTGGATTGGCCATGGAGGTCATCTGGGGGGTGTTAATGAGAAAGCCTCTTGGATGAGAGGCGAACAGTCTTCTAGAAAACTTTATGTCCTGTTGCCTAAACTGTAGTTTTCAAGCTTGACCATGACCTGGATGACTGAGAATCTTCAGATATTTTTGACTTTGAACATAAAGCACCAGAGATACGTATCGTTACCCCGCTGAAGACTTGGAGAATTCTTTTATTTCTTAGGGAAAATGTTCCAGGTTTTACGCATAATGATTTGTATCTGTGTTTACCAATAAGAAAACTCTTAGTATTAGTTATAGTTGCTCTTGGGTATTGTTTAAATCTCCAAACAGTTTATACTTCATGCTGCTTCTGGAACAGGATTCTATAAAATCAAAGTAAACGGTGCACCACATAACAAGTGGAAAATAGTAAGAAATACCAGAAACACTTCACACACATTTAAGTGACATTTAGAAATAGAATGTCTTTCGGGGGCTTCCGTAGTAGGTCTCACACACTTGGAGAGGCACCAGTCTAGTGTTTGTGAATAATTTAGTTCACCACTAGAAAGGGGTAAATCTTGCACACTTTATATAATCAGGAAAATTATGATTTTTTTTTCTCTTTTTGCTAAAATATTTTGGATTTATTAGATATTGTATTTTCCCTCCCAAAGTTAAATTATTTATGGAAATTATTCTAGTGCTAGGATCATTTATTTTTTTAGACTATTCAGCAATAAACTGAATAATGTATTTTGCTACTTTTATTATTTCTACTTTTAGTATACACAACTGTTACCTGTATTTGTCCTCACCTGGTCTTTATTTAACACATTTTTTGCAGAGGTGACTTTAACAGTGCTGTGGATGAAGAAACTAACGCTCCAAAACGAGAGAGAACGTCCAAGGCAAAAGACGAAGACACAGCTGAGGGAAAGAAGGAAAAGAAGACTCGATCACACAGGTCTAAAAGCAAAGAGGGCGGTACTGCAGAAAAGGATGAGCAGCACAGCAAGCACAAATCAAAGAAAAAAGCAAAGTCTCGCAGCCGCAGTGGGAGCAGAGAAAAGAAAAGGTCCCAAAGCAGAGACAAGGCCGACAAGCATAAAAGTAGCCACAGGAGAGGGCGTTCAAGAAGCAAAGAAGGAAACAAAGAAACGGAGGCAGGAGTGGAACAGAGTAAAGATAGAAGTAAAGATAGAGAATCTGATACAAACAACAAGGAGGGGAAAGGGAAGGAAGAAGAGAGAACAAGGACAAAATCCTCAAGCAAGGAAAGATCATCTAGAAAAGATGAGCGAAGATCAAGCAGCAGAAACAGGGACAAAGGTGGGAGAGCAGCATCCAAAGAAAAAGAGGAAAAATCAGACAAGGACAGGGCCAGAAAAAGAAGCCGAAGTAAGGAAAGGGAGAAACGGACAAGAGGAACATCCAGGGAAAAAGATAGGCGGTCAAGAAGTCCAGACAGGAGTAAGGCCAGAGACTCTCATAGAGGCAGACGCTCTAGAAGCAGAAGCCGTCGGAGGGATCGCAGCAAAGATCGGTCTTCTCAGAGAAAGGACCGAAGCAGAGATTCCACCAGCAGGAGGAGAAGACGAAGCAGCAGCAGCTCCGACAGTGACAGAGCAGATAAAAAGAAGAGCAGAAAAAGTCCAGATTCCTCAAGGAGGAATAGATCCAGAGACAGGAGAAGCCCAGCCAGACCAGATAGTACAAAAGATAGAAAAGATCGCAAGAAAAATCATTCGAGCTCTAGCTCCACCTCTGACAGCGACTGATTTCTTTTAATCCAAATCTGCAGATCAGCTTCATTCATCCCAGCTTCTTCCAAATCTCACATAAGCATAGACCTTTCCAAACTGGTTACAAAGCCTGGTTGATAGAAAGTGAAGCAGAAGAACATAAAAAAATATATAAATAACTGACTGGAGGGAGAATCCAACACTTAAAAATCTTCAGGCCTTGTAACTCAATATCTGTTGCCTCCTGAAAATGCAAGCTGGACCTGAAAGACTTCTGATCTAGGAGGAAAGAAATCTGCAGAACTGTTCAGATTTTTTTTTTTTTTTTTAAGAGATTGGACTGATTTAAACAATATGATCTTAATGTTTTTTTCACAACCCCTGTTCTCAGTTTTAGTTCAAATAAAGAAAAAAAAAATGTAACGTGTCCATTTTTTACCAAAAGTCTGAAGATTAATTTAGTCTTGCATGCTTGTTTCTATTTGATTTATTTGGAAAATGAAACTTTTATTTTGAATATTTTTTTTTCTACTTGACTAAACTTGAAACTTATTCTGTCAACTCTGTTTATAGGTAAAAATACTGCTGGTCACAAGCATTTTTCTATAAACTCAATTTGCTTTGCAGCAAAACATGGGAGTGTTGATTAAAGTGTAACGCTATTTCTTTGTTCTGGGTTTTTTTTTTATTGTTGTAAATGTTGAGGCCAAAATCAAAACATAAATACAATAAATTAGTTAAACTGGAAGATCTCAGCCCGGTGTCTGGGTGGTTACTTACCGTATATACATAGGGGGAATGCTCAATATTCTTTACTTTTCTATGGACATGTTAACTTACTGAACACTTTTTATACATTGCTTGGTTCCTATGGGTTTTTCTCAGTATCATTTACAACTGCGATAAACGTTAACAATATTTAAACAACGTGTGAAAGTCACAAATTACCGCAGATATTCTTCAGATGTTGGCTTTCAAATGGTCTGGAAAAAAGGAACATGGATTGATAAACTGTTTGATAAAATGAGTTCAGAGGACAAAATTTGGAATTACAAATTTCTTCTACATGCTTAAATCCAGGAAGTTGTTTTTAGACTTTAGTGGGGAAAAATCCCCATTTCAGTTTTTTGATTAATCTAAAATGAGTCCAGAACTTTGATAAAAAAAAAAAGAAACTACATTACGAACAAGATTCAGGAATACCAGCAGTGGGCTCTCTGATCTGATGGATAATTGATAACCAGACAAACTCTCTTCTTTCATATATTGTCTCTTGCAAATCATATTTTCTGTCATCACATGGAAAAATAAAAACTGCTTTACAAAACACATCCAGCTTGTTTGTTCTGCAGATACTCTACTTTATTTAACCAGTTTAAGCTAAATTAAAATATCTGGTGAATGATTACCAGCAATCAGTTATATTCTTCCTCCTCGGCTCTGTCGCGCTTTATATGTAGCTTTAGCTGCAAAATGTCAATTTGTAAGATCTGTTCAAATGAGACTTTAGAAGGAATACAAACCCTAGAAATGTATATTGTTTTGAACAATTGTGTCTTGCATAAGTAAAAAGTATTTCTTGAAATATTTAATATTTGATCTCATTTCAGGAAAATAGTACATTTAACTGGTTTTCTGTATGGTGTGTTAAAGATGAATTGATAGAAAACATTTAGGGTTTAATTCAAAGTATATTCATTGCTGTACAAGTTCTCAGTGAAGGTCAGGACCTAAATCCAAGTCTAAGAGAAAAATGTTCAGTTTGTCTCTAGATGTAAAAGAAAGACTGTTTTTAACAGGGGTGAATAATTATGCTGTTTTAAACTGCTGATTGTACTGTAAAAGAAAAATGTAAAAACTTTACTTTCCTCTCCAGTATTTTTTTGTTTTATATGTCTTCACACTATTCTATTCACAGAACATTCCTTCACCTTTAAAGATATTTTTTTTCTGTCTGAGTAAATAACAGCAAACTTAATCCTGCATTGATGTTTATCAAACCTGACCATCCGCACCACAAAGCCAGTCATTTTGTATAGATATTTTTTATTGCCATTAAGGCAGCTAACAGCATTTCGATACTCCTACCAGGTCTCACCCCAGATTCTTGACTGGACTGAGTTTTGTACTTTGATTCCAACAAATTTCAATATTTACCCTTAAAGGAATAGTACACCCAAAACATGATTAGCCTTCATTTTCTACTCACCTCCATGCTGAACAACACTCTGGAGTACTTTTTTGATATCTCAAATGCATCTGGAGATCTGGGAGACTTCTTGCTGTCTGCTGACATTCAAATAATGGAGGTCTATGGCGCCCGAGACAGAAAGGTCCACAAAAGTCCACAAAAACTTGTCAATATTCCTCCATACTGCTCGTCCAATGTAATCCAAGTGTCCTGAGTGGGTAGCATCCAGAATTTACTCGAAACGAAGTCATTTAGAACGTTTTAGAGCCTAAACAGTAGTGTATAGGATTTCCTAATAGCGCCCCCATGCGCGCTCACGATTCTACGGAAGCCGGCAGACCAAACCAGCGCATTCAGCTCGGCAAAGAACTCATGCTCTTCCTCAACACTGAAGTCCTCAGACATTTTTCTTTCGTTGTTTCTTTCTTTGCACAGGTAAACAGCACATTTCTTCTTCTACGCTTGCATTATCGGCAGACCAGACGCTGAATGCGCACTTCCTTCCGGTTTGGTCTGCCGGCTTCCGTAGAATCGTGAGCGTGCATGGGGGCGCTATTAGGAAATCCTATACACTACTGTTTATGCTCTAAAAACATTCTAAATTACTTCGTTTCGAGTAAATTCTGGATGCTACCCACTCAGGACACTTGGATTACATTGGACGAGCAGTATGGAGGAATATTGACACGTTTTTGTGGACTTTTATGGACCTTTCTGTCTCGGGCGCCATGGACCTCCATTATTTGAATGTCAGCAGACAGCAAGAAGCCTCCCAGATCTCCAGATGCATTTGAGATATCAAAAAAGTACTCCAGAGTGTTGTTCAGCATGGAGGTGAGTAGAAAATGAAGGCTAATCATGTTTTGGGTGTACTATTCCTTTAAGCCACTAGTGGCGCTTCTTGTCCCTGTGGTGCAGGATGGTGAACCTCCAGGGAGTCTGATACTGGTTTTGCTTAAGAATATTGTTGTATTAAGCATAATCTATATCAGTTTCTAAAAAGCATCACCACAGCATGACACTCTCACCACCATGTTTCACCATATATGGCATTAATTTGGTGATGGGCTATGGGATTTGCATCAGCTATAGCAGTTTCTTGCTGGCTGAAGAGTTTCGTTTTAGTTTCATCTGACCAGAGCATCTAATATCCTTCTAGCAAACATAAAGCACACCTTCAAGGGTTTGTTGTTTGTTTTATTTATTTCTTCTAGCGAACCTTACATAAAGCACAGCTCTATGGTGTATACAGCTCCTTGTGTTCCAACAGGACAGATGTTCCAGTACTGGAGTGGAGCTTCAATCCTCCATGCAGCTTTGGATTCTTTTTTTTATTTTTTATAATTCAATCCTGACTTGTACTTCTCAAAAACTCTCTCCCTGACTTCAATAAACAGCTTATTTGTATTCATGAGATGCCTGCTAGTGGTGCTGCAGCCTCTGGGGCCTTTCAGAAAAGTGTGTTTATACTGAGATATATATTATGGCTTAAAGGTAACTAGCTGCACCAGGACTTTCATAGTAAAAGCAGATTGATACAACATGCATATTCCTTTTTAATATTTCTGTTTTTCCTCATTTCACTTCACAAACTTTAACTATTTTGCACAGATATAAGATAGTTTAAGATTTAAAAAAACAAACACAGAGTGGAGCCATAGGGGAGAATATTTTTCCTAAGCTATCCCCGATGACAGTCATTTAATTCATGGGTGTGACATGACAAAATAGGAACACGTTCATGAGAGTAAACTACAGCAGGTATTAAACTAACACCATGTGAAACCAAGTCTCTTCTTGGACTCGTAGATGTTTCCAGCCTCGTGAAGCCTTCTGATGCTCTGTGTGGTTGCAGAGGTATATCTGGGCATCTGCGCCCCACTGCTGTCCTGGACGATGTAGCTTGGACTTCCTCCTTTTCTTACAGCTCTATAAAGTGGAATCAGATTTCTTTTAGCATCTGCTGCGGTCTGGATGACCTGTTCTGTGTACTTCTCAAACTCGGCTTCCTCTTCAGCTCTTTGTTTTGCATTTTTTGTTTCAATGTAAAGCTCCTCGTCTTTCTTCTGCTGAAGTCTGGTGCTTTTTTCTGCCTGCATTCAGGAGCGAACAAGTTTTACATCATTACTGTATGTCAGATATTGTAAATAACAAGGTAAATAAGAATAAGGTGGAGCTTTGAGGCTGGTACCATTTGTGCAACATAGAATTCCTTCAGTTTTCTTTGTTCTTCTCTCATCTTCTCAACCTTTAGTTGTAGTGTTTTGGTGTATATTAAGTCAGCTTCCTTCTTTGCTTGGAGAGCGTCTCGCCTTTCTTGCTCTGCGCTTTTTTCCAAGAGCTCCTTTTTCTTTCTCTGGTGAAACAGCTTGTATTTAGTTTATGCAACCATCACATTTTATAAAAACTATCCTGCAAACACACTCGTTACCACAATCTCCATTTGTTCGGCTACTGTCTTCAACATCTCTGATTTCTTCCTCTCTTTCTCCTGTTGCTGTTGTCTCTGTTTCATGCTCATCACAGCCACAGCTTCAGCTAACCTCTGCTCCTCGATGGCGGTCTGCTCTTGCTGCATGGTTGTCAGATTGTTCAAAATCCTCTCTCTCTGTTTCTGAGCTTCCCTGGTGAAAGAAGGACAAAAGGCTCAGATGAGCAACATTGCATTAAAAATAAAAATATACTGCTTGAGTATTTTCCTAACATCCTTTTCCTCAACTTTCTATCCATATGCTTACCAACAGCCACCTGTGGTAACCCTTCGTGTGCCATAAATCCATAACTATCTTCATACTGTTATAATATTTGCAGTCTTTAAAATTGTGTAGGCCATCTAATGGCCACTGTGCAAGGTTTATGTAGTAAAAATGACTTCTTATTGGTCTTTTTTCAATATTAAAAACTGATACTATTTAATTTGAATACCTAAACTGAAATCAATAATTCATTCATTGATGAGGATTCAGTTCTATTTATT